GACCGCCACCTCGCTGGACACCGAAGAGCAGATGAACGACAGGTCCACCTGGACCATCACATCCCTGCAGCCTGGGGCACCAGAGACCATCGCACCCTTGCAGGCTGGGGCACCAGCAACGTGGATAGGCACAGAAGTGTTCTCTTTGACCTGAACAACAGTCTCAGCGCTGACCAACTGAGCACTCTCTGACTCAGTTCTCACTAACAGTGGGACGAATGGTGTGACTGATGCTGCCGAACAGGGGAATAAGTCTTTTTGCTCCCCGTAAAAACATCCCAGATAAGTGCCTCCTTGACATGAGGAGCTCTGTGGTCCTTAAAATAGCGGCAGAAGATCCTACTCGTGGAGACATCTTAGAGTCATGGAGGTGGTGGCAGAGACGGTGGGAAACTGGAGGGTATGTAGCCTGACTCGCAGGAGCAGCCAAGGTGATGTCAGGCTGGCTCACTGGGAAGATGGTGGTGATGTTGGTACGATGCACCAGAGGAGCTGTGGTAGCGTCAGGTTGATCCTTGGGAGGAACAGCTCAGGAATTCTTTCACCAGCTCACTGGCTGCACTCACTCTCTTCCAAAGGGGGTTGGAAAGTGGAGATGCTGTCCAAAGTGAGCCTTAAGTCCTTGATAAAACTGGGTTTAGCTTCCTCTCAGATGAGCTCTGCTGGGTCCATTTTTGGCTGGTTTGTACTGCCAGGTTGGGTGGAGGTTTAAAGAAGATCCAAATGCAGAGACTGAAGCTAAAGTGGTTTCTTGCCAGTTTAATAACAAAAAGGGTAACAGAAGCAAAAATCCACAAACATAATTCACAAAATCCAATAATACTGAAAACGAGGAATACTCACAACAAGGGGGCAAAGAAATGATGATAAACCAGCAACAGAGACTGAGCAGGGGGTGCATATATGGGAGAGAGAAACGAAGACCAGGCTAATCAACAGATTGGGAGCAGGTGTTAAAAGAGGAGTTTAGAATGGAGCTAGGGAAAAGGAGACTGACACAAGAGGGCAACAGAGGGCAAACAAGAAAGAAACTGAAACACAATCAAAAATGACTAGAATGACACAAATTAGAAATAAAACCAATGAAAACCCAAAGATAAAATGTAAACAGAACCAAAACTATGACACACACCAGACTGTATATGGAGCATAAACCTCTACTCAACTGGGTTTTATAACTTCTAATAGTTACACAAACCATAAAAAACTGTCCAACAACCAAGTCATCAGAGACAACTCCTTCTGATTCTGCAACAGAGTTTCAGATCGCTGTAATGTTTCCTGACAATCAACAAAACATTGTTTGATGCAACTTCAGTGTAATATTATGTAAAGCTTAAAAATCTAAGCACTGGGTGTTTGCCCTAAAAAGAAATGTTAAAGAGAGCAAAAGAAGATGATAAAAAATGCTTGAAACCTCAAGTCTGGCAATTTGACACAAACACCATCCTCTTTTTTTTTTTATCATACTTTTATCACACTAACACGTAAAAAATGGAGAAAAGTGGAACCCTGAATTGAATAAAACATTCTAAGAGGTCAAGAGTTTTTTCTTTTCTTTCTGTGCCCAGCGGCTTGTCCAGATTTGGTTGTTACATTGTTTATTCTAGCTAAAATAGTTTTAACCAACTACATTGGTTGTTTTCCAACCAATCTATATTTAGAATTTATCCAAACTCTATCCAGCTGAAAGCAACTCTCCTACAAACTCACACATCTCGGCTGAGTAGTGAGGTTGTTTAAATACCTGTCGAAGTTCTTTTGCAGTCCGAACCCCTTCTGGAAGCGGTCGCGTGGTATCACCATAGCGAGGTGTCGGACGTTATCAATTTTGGCCCTAAATGAATCACACCTCAACACGTGCTTCAGTAAAAACGCCTCTTCTATTTCTCAGCCAAAGCCCTCGAGGACTTGGCTCATCTCATAACATCACTACATCTTCGACACTCTGATCACCTGCTTTCTGAAACTGTTCTGAACTGGATTTTAGCTTTGGATTATCCCTCAAGAACATTGTTGTTTGCTCGACATAGGCTGGTGCTCAGAAGCGGTAACGACCGCAAGCCACGGACAATCTCCCCCCGGGTTCCTCTCTTTATCGGACTACACTCTCAAACAGGGCCACCAGTGACTTTTTCTAGTCTTTTTCAGCTCAACATTCTTGTCACTGACCTGAGTTTCATGTCTCCACAGAGAACCCGATTACACCGCCCAGAGGAGATCCCGCCTCTCTCTTTTGTTGACCATTTCAATAAACTTGTTTGAAACCTTCTAGTTTGTCTGATGAATATTGGGTCCAAGGTTAAGAGCCATTACAAGTAGTGGTTTGTACAAAAAGGTGAAACAGAGTTTCATTGAGTATGACAATATTTTAAATCTTGTTCCAAAGATTACAATCCTGCAACTGTAATCTTGCAATTTTCCTGGGGTTCTTGAGGTAGATCCACTCATAAGGACATCACAGTATGTGATGTAAAATTGTGTTTACAGAAGATAAGGTATAGGAAGATTTTGATCCTTAAAGTCAAATTGATGGATCACAAATTAAGCCTAATCATCACCTGCACAGAACTCAAGATGCAGCTGTGCTCCTCATTTCATATGAAAAAAGAACAAAAAAAAAAAAACTAAATCATGTCAAATAGAGTGGTTAAAATCATAATAGTGTTCTCTACTTTAATCCCCACATGTAGCTAAAAATTTGTTGTTTCTCTCCAAAGGCACCGCATGTATGATAGCATGTTACCGATTTTTGAGATTTGACTTCATTATTCTAGATAAGATCTGCATCTGTTCGTCTTTCAAAGAGCATTGAGATTATGTCTGTGGTGATTTGGTGCAATATACATGAATGGAACTAAAATCAACCTCACTAAAAATACCAATAGTTGAATGATTTTATAAAAACAACTAATTTCTCTATGATTAAGAGTTGATTTTATAAATGTATTTAAATGTATCCACAGTGAATTTGGCAACACTGCAAAAACAATCTAGAAATAAGTAAAAAAAGTTCTTAAATTAAGTGTATTTACCCTTAATTTACTTAATTTAAGTAGGTATACAAGATGATTTGCCAATGAAATTAGTATGTTTATTCCTAAAATAAGATAATTAGATAATATGCACTTGAAATAAGACAATGCAATTGTTTTTTCTTATTTTAAATGTAAATTGTCTTGTTCTACTGGCAAAGGGTCTCACTTACCTCCTCAATTCAAGACAAATTACACTTATTTTAAGAAAAAAAGACTTATTAAGATTAAATTTTTTTGCAGTGAAGAGCCACTGAGTTTGAATGTCTTCTTTGAAATAACAAGGGTATCTGTTGTATGATTTAAGTTAAGGAAAAAAAACTTCCAGCAAAGGTGTTTTGACGGAAAGATAACTACAAAAAATAAAAAATAACCAATGGTAAGATTTTTGCAAGTAAACATGAAACCCTCTTTGCACAAAAACCTGTAGTTTAGGGTAGATACCAGAAGTAATAACTTCCTCAGCGATTTCTACCCTTGTAATTTGATGTGACCCAGATTTCTGCAGTGGAAATAAACCGAGTACAAGTATGGCCTCAGAAAAAAATATTGTGGGAATACCTACCTAGATTTCAAATATAATGTTAAAAACAAGTTTAGCTTTTAACTTGGGCCATGAAGAACTATCAAGAATATGTTAATAATTACAGGAACATCTCAAAGATGAAAAAAAATAAAAAAGAGAGGCTCAAGAATTTTGCTTATTACTATTCATATATCATTTGATCCTGTAACATTAATATGCAGAATTCCACAACACTCCAAATGTACTAGTGAACTCCTGCATTCTTGAGGCATTTATAAGTTTTAACCTGAAGCACTTGCTGAATGGATATCCTTTCTTTCACCGCTCCAAGCACCACAAGCCCATTGCTGCTCCTTTTGTCTAAAAACATTTTGGTGCATTTTTCTGGGCCAACCTCCCTCATCAAAGTGATTAAGCAATTAAACTGATTGTGCCGATGCTCAAACGAACAAGAGAAGGCCCCTCGAGAAAGGAGTGCAAACGCTTTCTTGAAGATAACAGCATAATTTGGGGCCTAATGAAAATAAAGCCCAAATATGCACTCCTGTTTCAACATCAGGGATAAGACAAGGTAAGAAGAAACAACTGAAGGGGAAGCCTGCCAGCTTTTTTTTTTATTTTGCTGTTCATTCATATTCAAAAAAAAAAGAAGCAGAAGGATTCATCAGAGACAGCACATTCCTCCGAGATGATGGAAGCTATAGATGCTGCACACACTCAAGGATGGCAGATGTAAATAACCAAAGTAGGGGAGGTGAGTCAACATGCAGTTCATTTCTCAGAGCAGCTGCACACATCAATAATGAAACAAGAGTCTGGCAGGTTACCCGATTCAAAGAAACAAAGTAAAAATTTGTGAAATCCCTCTCAGTCATTATCTTCTGTCACCTTGGCCTACAGAGTTATTAGGGAACTGTGGGACTGCTCATAGACCTGTCTAGGGGCAGAGAAGAAACAACAACTTACACAAGCTTTGAATATTCAAAATACACTCTGATCTATCTATCTATCTATCTATCTATCATCTTTCTATATATCAGCGTATCATATATATACAGTTTGTAAAAGGACGGCTGGCTGTATCTATAAACTTTTGTCACAATAGATCAAAATGTAAAGGCATGTTTATTGTTAGTCTAACATCAAAATCAAATAATCTAACCTTAAATCGAATGGGTCCGTTAAATGCAAATATTTTGCCTCCAAGTATGGACAACATAAACAGGCACTGAAAGACCATGGCCGAAGCTAGAACTGGGGCCCCAAATTACACTGGGGCCACATTATACCTTGTGCCAGCTCTGTCAAAATCCCACCTATCAACTCAATACAAATGCAATGTGTTTTACGCACATGTATAATAGATTGCAGAAGGAATTCAATCAATATGGAGCTGCGTGGGTGTGGAGGAGGCGAAATGAGAGAAAAAGGAAACTCACCCCCAGATGAGATCTTGAGGTACAGACGGGGATCTGCAGCTCGGATGGCGGCTGTGTAACGATCCTCTATCCCAGGCACCTGCGCCTTTTTCTCGGGCATGAGCCGAACCCTAAGGCGGCCCCCATCCGCTCCAAGCCACCAGTCCAGGATCTCCCTGAGGTCCACCTCCAACAGAAGCACAGGGTCCTCTTCATATACCGCCAGCCCCCCGCATCCATTCTTTACCATATCCTCTCCTATTTCAACCACCACTTGGTTGGATTTCCTGTTCGCCTTGGTTAAACCCATATTCAGAACTTTGGACAGCGGCCGCTTGTAGAAGAAGGGGAGCTGTCCAGCAGCGGACCTGTTTCCCGTTTCTGTAGCAGATTTCGGCTCTACAAAAGTGGCAATGGTTTTCTGCAGAGGAATGCAGTGCATTTTTAAGTTTGCGCGCACTGTGTAGCAGCCGTTGAAACTCTGGCAGTCGCCGTTTAGGGGTCTCTTAATGAACTCCGCCAAATAATATCGCAGCAGCGAAGGCACGGCGAAATCCACGGCCAGGGTTCTTCTCTTGTTTCTGGACATTATGGTTTGGTTGGAATCTCTCTTGGTACCGATTTCACCACTGTTGCTGCCGCCTGAGCCGGTGAAGCTGGCGGGAGGAATATCCATGCCAGCTGTGGTCCTCGGCGGGGCGCAGCGAAGCTCAGTAAAAAATACTGCAGAAAAAACAAGTAAAAACAACACCCTGATGTACATGGTTTCACCGATGGGTAGGCCTAGTTTGTTCGGCAAATTCTCCTATTTCGAAATGCCCCCCTTTTTCCCTTCACATAAGCAGCGCAGGGATAGAAAATAAATACATCAAAAATAATCACAAAGTGCCTATGGATGGATGGATGCTGCGTGTCCTGCGCCTCCTCTCCGGTGCGCACCCGAGGAATAACAGGCTTTTACATCCGCTCTCCCCTCACAGTTGCTGTCCTCCGCTTTTCAAACGTGAAAAAGTCCCATTCCTCTCTGCTCGATTCTTTGGCCACAATGCCTTTAATTACCGGTGCCAGCAGTCAGACGCACTCCGGGACGCTGATTTATATGCTGCTCGGGTCCGCTTCGGTTCCTTTCAAAGACTCCCTGTCTCTTGGCACAGTTGTGACGGCGGCACAAGTGGTCTCTCTGTCAGCAGAGATGGGTGGGAGGGAAAACGCCGCAACCGCGCATCCAGAATGGCAGCAAAAAATAAAAAAATAAAAATCAGGGGTCTTCTAAAGTTAAAGAAATAAGATCTGAACGCTCCTTCTGCTTTCAACCTCTTATCGTCGCCTCTCCTGTGCGTGCACATGCGGGAAAGTCATTCACACAACGTCAGCCAGAAGGGGGTGGGGGGGTCTCAGCAGTCACCGCGGACGCACGAATCTCATGCGCCTTTAGAGCAACCGTGACGGAGATAGTATCTTTATTTGAATTAGAAATGCCTCAAGGTATTCCAAAAACAACCAAGCTTCGCCCTTTATGACTTTTTTCTTTTTTCAAATGAACCTTCAAGCCTTTTACGTGCCGGAAATTGGATTGTAGACCCTTTCTCTCCAAGCTGTGTGCAAATCAAATAGTTTCAGGGCGCCAATTTGGGTTCCAATCAACTATGTTATGTCTTACGGCCAGAGGCCAATATGTTACATGATCAAATAGATGCTGCGCCGCTGTACAGATTCGTGCCTCCTTAATAAGAAATCAGGGGGTCGGTGCGGTGAAGCCGGGTTGGGTTGCAGAAAATGCTCCTCTGCTGCCTCCCTTCACCTGAACACGTTTCACAAGTTGCTGAAGTTGATCAGAGAAGACACCCGCTAGATGGCGTTATCATATACTCCTGATGCTTAAATACAGCTTCATTGATAAATAGGCTACCCTCATTTTGGAATTGCTCTGGATTTTAAAGACAGAATCATTGGGTGTCTAACCTGCAGAAAAGGATTTGAATTGTGAGTCAAAGGATTATACAAGTATGCCTCAACAAATTGGATGATGATTAAAAATTTATTTGTTTAAGTAATGAAATTTACAAAAATTTAACCAATACAGCTTAAAATGCGTTAAAAATGGTTTCAGATCATTGAATTCTACACAAAGAAAACCTTCATCATACAAATAAAGTTTTGAAACATAGATTTCCTATTGTAGCTCAAGGAAGCAGAAGGGAATCAGCCACACATGCTCTGTATGAGGTTGAGCACTCCCTAGATGTATCCACAGTGGTGGAGACACACTTGTGGGAAACAATTGCTATCAAGTCTTTATGATAATATGAAATTTTTAACCTTTAAGAATTAATTTGGCCCGCTGCTCCTTACAGTATTATTTTTACTAGTCACATTTTGAGTATTTTGAACTAACACTAGAAAGTCTGACCACTTATTCAAAAACCAAAGACAGAGAGGATGCTATTCTGTGATACTTAAGAGGCCTTGTGTTTGAACTTGGGTTGTCTCGGCCAGTTCTTGAAGCCAACAGCCAAATATATAGGCTTACTAATGGTCAAGGTGTTGCTGTGTGAAAAAAAGAGGACATGCCTTTGTGACTGCATGGCTGGTGTACTTCAACATACTTTCTTTTTGTGTGAACAGGTCTTTAATCACATATCTGTAAAAAATGCTGCTGCTGCACATCTTAACACACATAATGTAGCACATTTCGTTAGTTACGGGATCACTTCATTGGCTAACCATCCACTTCTTGTAGATTTAAAAAATATTTAGTTTTTTAAAAATTATTTTAACAGCCTTGTCCCACTCTACATCTGTAGAATTATCTGCCATCACAACCCAGCTTAACTGAAAAAAGTCACAATGGTCAACAAACACAACATTTTTTTAGCCTAGCTCTGTTTAATTAAAGTGTGCTGGAAACTGGTCCCTTGGATAGTTTAACCTTGCAAAAAGAAAACTGTCAACATCCCCCGTTTAATGTGTAAATTCTAGCATTTTAAAGAAAGCCTCAGATTTTCGGTGCATTTTGGAGGCTTTTTTAGCAAGAAGTATAAATAATTAGTTTGCTAATCCTTATTTAGGGAATGTGGATTATCTTTCAGTCATTAGTTTTGCTGAAGATTTCAGTATCTCTTTAGAAAAACATTAGAATGTCAAATTTAATACCGCTGACTGTTGTCATGGATGCTTCCGGTGGCACTCTGGGAAAAAAATGCAATTTTTTTAAAACAAAGACCACCACTCCATTTGAACAATAACCCCAATAATCAAACAGACATTAACATTCTAAATATTCTACAGTATATTAATAAAGGTTATTGTATACAGATCATCACTAATAAATTATGAATCATACCAAAGTCATAGCCTTGAAACTTATCAGGACACCACTTACATTGATTCAAGATGTCACAATGTTGCCTAACCAGAATCCAGATTACCATGAACTGGAAAATAATAATGAACTGTCCTTGTCTTTGAATGTAGTAAAGAAACTGCACAGCCTGAAAAACAGCAAGGTTTCGCCCCAGAGACTTTTGAACTCATATTAACCCCAGGCCCCAGTTTCACACACCCTCCATCATACTTCTCCACCACCCATGACAACACTGAGTACTGGATCTGATCGGGGGTTTAACACCCTCACCTGTCTTTCTTACATTTCCGGTACATACAATTTTCAACAAAATTGATATTTTGCTATACAAGACCTGTGCATGCATCCTAGTAATTTTATCAAAATCTATTTTTTCCCTCTAAATTGAGGCTAGCCTTGTTGGCAGTTTGCTAGGTTGATTAAATTTCTTGTAATGTTTGTGTTTTTCTCTTTCTCTAGCCATCCTGATATTTGCTGGGTAATGCATATCTGAATGAAAATAACTCTAAGTGTTGTGCCTAAAGGTTCCTGCTCTGAATCTTTACTACTTCTCTTTCCCTGATAGCAGATGCTATTGAAGCACAAATACTTCACACTTTTCTAAATTCTGCTTCTTCATCCTTTGTTAATGAAATGGAAAAAAAGTCACTTTCATCAATTGAAATTTAGGAATTGATTCTCAATAAGCACTGTCCATGATTCAAAAACAAATCTCTTCATAATCTTTACTTGTTTTAGGTAGCTAAATTAAGGTTAAACATAATAATATCAGGGATAAAAGATTTTCACAATCATATTATTTTTATAAAGACAGTTTTGGTTCCATTAGATGTCTCAAACTCAATCTGACCTCTTTATTTGGTTACCTGTGCAATATGGGCTATGCTAGTGTTTTGACCATGGTGTTTACTGCTCACCTGCTCTTTAATATTTTTTCACAGCACTTTTTTACTGTAGCAGTTCACTCTTCTTTTTGTTGTTTCTTTTCCTCTCAAATGTCTCTCTCCTCCAAGTTGTACTGGCTAGCCATTTACCTTCCCTGTTCTTCTGGAAAAGAAATGAGTGGGTGAAGAGTGTATGTTTTTTGTCCTAAATGGTGCTGCTCTAAATAGCTGCGGGTGATACCGCAAGGCAGGTACCGGAGTGAAATGCACCCCAATACTGTCCATTGGTCCTGTCTGTGTCAGGCTCAGAACAATAAGGCCCAGTATTTGAGTTGGACATAGTGTTAGATTTCTCAAAACGTTTACTAGAGATGGAACTACAGTGAACAGCATCGGCATCAAAGGCAGGAACCTCTGCGGCTGGAGACAGCAGGTTAGTGACCACGTCTTTCTGGAGTTGGATGATAATGAATGTGAGTCACTAACCCGGCCTTATAGTTAAGTCTGAGCCCAGAGGGTGAGGTTGGCTCCAGCTGGTTGGCTACAAACACAAAGCAGCTGGTGCCACCCAGAAAGTCCCAGACCCTTATTTATCGGAGGGCAGAGGACAGGCAGGAGATCAGAACCGAGCAGATGAAGGTAGGCAGGATAATCCCGAGGGTGAAACCAAAACCAATGCCAGTGACATGCTTGGTAATCAGGGGCAGGAGATCAGAGATCCAAAGAGGTCGGGAGTCGGGAAACAGTTCCAGATACGATAAATAGACAGGCAGGTTTCTGGCGGGAGTCAAAAGACAGGTCAGGCAAACAGAACAGAATGCTCGAGAACTTCTCATCACAGGCTCAAAATAATCTGGCACTGATGACTGGTCTGAAGGCAGGTTAAATAGAGTGTGAAGCAGGTGGAGTGGTAATGAGAACTGGGCGAAGGTACACAGGTGAATGAAATGAGTAATGAGACCAGACAGTGCTAAGATCATGACAGCCTTGTCTGCAACCACTGTGCTGAAACCACATCAGGAACTGTCCCACCTCTCCTGAGCCCAGCCACATAGCCTGTTCAGCTTTAGAAAGTAAAGATCCCTTGTCTTCTTTACTGAACCAGGTGATAAAAGTCCCTGTCTGTGCTGTGGAGCTGTAAATGCCAATGGTTTAAACACATTTCTGTTGGAAGAGCTGTTCAGCTTAGTTGTAGCCACAGGTAGTCCAGGTACCCCCGTTCACATAAGTTGTCAAATGAAGCTGACTGGACTTTCATTGCAAAGGGATCCATTTTTACAAACATTTTAAGGCCAGCTTGGTTATTGCTATGCAGTTGCCATAAAAAAGTTAGTTATATCTCCAACTGTTTTAAACATTAGGCTCTAACCTTCTACATTTAGCATATACAATTGACATTCACAAGACCAAAAAGCATGCACAGTTTCTACCCTAGACTACTACTTTCAGCAGGAGACAGTCAGACAGATACCAAATTAAATCAAATACCATAATTTTTATAAATCACGGCTAATAGATATAAGGCTCTACTGCATAAAATAAGATAA